CATCATCACACTCACCTGACTGAGGAAGCCCTTGTGTGAGGCAGGAAAAGGTTAAAACCCACCCCAAAAAGCAGGGGGAGAGAGGAGGGAGGGAGAGCTGAACCTCCTCTGTGGCGGGTTAACGCTGCTGCTGGGTGTCCTCGCCTTCTCCATCAGCCCCGCTCTCCACAGCCGCTGGCATTGGCGATGGAGGCCTTTAATTATCCAAACTGCTGCCCCTCACAAAATTAAATGCTGCTGAGGATGACTCAGTGTTTAATGGACTGGCTGCTCCTCACGCCGGGAGAGCCAAGCGGGTGCAAGCGAGAGCACGGCACAACACGGCATAAATCACCCGGAGACGCCGCTCACGGGCCCCGCTGACCCCGCCGCCTGGAGCAGCCTCTGCGGGGCTTAAACACTGCTGGTTTCACTCAGGATAACCCGGGGGAACTCCTGGGAGCAGCAGATCCGGGCGTTGCAGCTCGACCCTCCAGCCAGGCTGGCTGCCACCCTTGCCCAGCTGCCACCACGTGGACGCGCTTGATGTAGGAATCCCACGGATTCACCAGGCTGCCTGTGCTGGCTTCTCTGCTCCCAGGATTTAGATGTGGTGGTTTCCTTTGGAAAGGTCTCAGCAATGGTCAGATGTGGTTTAGAAGGCAAGCAGGTGCCAGAGGATGTGATACAAAGCTTGTCTCTGCCTTTGCACCACGCTCGGGCCAGCCCAAGCCAGCATGGCAAGAAGCAGCTCTGTTAATAGCCTCGTTAGTCTCACCAAGATGCTGAGGCTTTGGCTTCCAGCAGATAATTAACAATGTGCTCATGAATTAGGAAACCCTGGACCTCTACCAGGATCTCTGTGGAGGCTCGTGGGTCAGAGCTGGAGCAAGGCAATGCCTCGAGGAGCAGCCCAAAGCAAAGGGCATGGCCAGCAGGGACTGGCAGGGGCCTTCTTTGCCCATCTTTAATGGCAGGACCAGTTTTTCTCCAGGTACCCAACACCTGGAGCTGGCAAACAGGAAAAAATTCTCCATGGAAAATGTAGTCAAGCCCTGGCACAGGCTGTCCTGGGCAGCAGTGGAGGCACCATTCCTGGAGGGATTTAAGACACGTAGATGTGGGGCTTGAGGACAGTGTGGTGGCCTTGGCAGTGCTGGGGCAGCACTCAGAGGATGATCTTGGAAACCTTTTCCATTTAAAGGATTCTGTGTGGATGCAAGAGTCTCCCTGATGCTGGAGCTGCCCCACCCATCCTACTAAGGCCCCACGGTGCCTCATTTGAATACAATTTACTGTCGCTAATGATGCTGATGCTTATTTCCCCAAGCTGGGAAGTATTTGGCCCCAAAATGGGCTCCTGGAAGCAATTTCAGAGGCAGTCTGTAATGCTGGAGCTGATGGAAGCAATTTGCAACCCATTAGCAGAGATCGGCTGTGAAGATATTTTACACATCACTCAGTCCAGGTTTGAGGGGGGATGGAATTTTCCCTCCTCTTCTTTGGAATTTTTGTCCTGGATGGGGTGAACACCTGAGCGCTGCCTCTTCAGCCCCAGCTTTGCCTCGTGCCAATGGTGGTTTCTGAATTAAAACCCTTAAATACACAAATACACAAAGTCCTGGACTGCAGGGCCAGGCACCCCCAGAGCCTCATGCTCCAGGAAGGGACACAGCAGTGCCCAGCACCTCCAGCACCCACAGGACTAATTGATCATTATTAATTAATTTGTCTCCTGGACAGCAGCGATGCAGGTAAAGAAGCAATTTTCAAGCCAAGGCTCCATGGAGGGAGCAAAAGCACAGCACAACCCCAAAAAAGCATGGAAAGGCATCACTTATCCATCCTTGCCCTGGGGATGCTCTTCCAAGAAGCAGGATGGGAGCTGGTTTCCATAACTGGGGTGTGTGTGGTGGAGCAGGGACAAGCTGTGCTGGAAAGGTGAAAAAAGAGCCCCAGGCCTTGAGTTATCCCTTGGCCCGAGCTCCTGAGGTGTTCCCAAGACAAGTCTGGGATCCTGCCTGTCTGCTGGAGCCTGTGCTGGGAGCCTCAGCTCTGCAGCACCTTCCCTTAATTACTTTTTTCATTTTAATTAGATCTGAGGGCACGCTGAGGAGAGCCCTGGTTGCTGAATCCGTGCTCTGAGCACCCATTTTTAACAGGAGGACTCCACCACAGCCCCACCACCCCTCACTAACCCACCCCTTGAGGTCTTTGTATCTCGCAGTTATCACCTGGGGCTGTTCCCTCCTCACCCATCCCACAGCCCTCGGCTGGTTCCTGTCTCTCCCAGCAGGAATTAACACAACCCTCACGTGGCTTCCCCAAAAAATAACACGGAAACGCTCCCAGTCCCCACGCTCCACTCGATTCCAAGGATGCAGCTGCATTCTCCCTGGACGAGGGCCAGCAGTAAGGAAGTTTCCTCTGGCCGCTCTCCTCCTCCCTGGCTCCTGTAGAAAATGGGTTTGGGGTGTTTGGGGCCCCAACAGCTCCACGAGACCCCCAGGAAAGCTTCTCCATCCAGGGGAAGCAGCAGAGCCTCTTCCCTGGGGTTTCTTGTGCACTGGAAATCAAGGACTCCCAAGAACGTCCACGTGCTCACCTGCTCCAGCCTGAGACCTCCTCCCTCCCTGCCGGGGATTTACTGTCAATAAAACCACTGCAGAGAGCCACTTCTCATCCGGAAGAAGAGGAGGAGGAGGGGGGAACAACCACTCTCTGAATGTCCTTCTGCCTTATCCCAGCAGCACATCCTTCTCCGGGCTGCCATCAGGACGCTGAAGGAGGGACAGCCATCGAGCAGGCAGCTGTCGGCCCGGCAAGGAGCGGCGCAGGACGGAGCGGGAAGGGAAAGGCACGGCTGTGCCAACTGGGAATGCTAACGCTGCTCTCCCGGCCTCGCAGCCACCTCCCCAAGCTCTGGCAGGGGTGTCCCTGAGCCCTGCAAGGGGCGGCACTGGCTCGGGGGGTGTCCCTGTCCCCCAGCTCTGCTGCTCCCAGGTGCTCGCGGGCAGGTCCCGCTGTGAAACCCAGGGCTCCTGCTGGGGTAGGGGAGAGGATGCTCCAGAAAAGGACCAAAGCAAGTGTGCCCAAGCCGTGGGATTTTGGGGACAGGGTACGTGTGCCTCACCCTGCTGTACCCCTGAGTGGCCACGCTCCCGTTTGTGTGGTTCAGGTGGGGACACCGTGCTGGGAAGGCACCTCTGGGCAGGGACACAGCCTGTGCCAACCCTGGGCTCTGGCTGTCCCTTTCCAACATCACACTTGTAAAGGACGTTGAGGAATCCTTTTCCATTTGACTGCAGCCACCTCACTGGGAGCAGCGGGCGGGCTCCTGCTGCAGCCTCCGCACCCAGAGCCGCCACCGCGGGGGCTCAGCACGGGGGGCGAGGGCACCCCGCTCCCCGGGGCAGCCACGGGCTGCAGCTGGAGGCAGCGGGAGATGTGCGGGCACTGGGGGGAGCTGGGCAGCGCTGAGCAATCCCCCCGCTCTGCCCCGGGCAGGAGCAGAGCCCCCGGTGCCCCCTGCCTCGGGAGCGGCCGGGGACAGCGGCAGAAGGACGGGGCTGGGAGAGGGGCGGCGTGTCCTGAGCAGGGCAGGGCCCAGCGCCGCCCGCAGGGTCACTCCCTGTCACCGTGACGAGCGTGACAGGGACCGGCCACAGGCAGCAGAGCCGGGCTGCACTGGCTGAGCCCGGGTGGACACTCGTGTGCCCCAGGGCCAGAAAAGGGCTGGAAGCCACCGGTGCCCCCCAAAAGGACCAAGCCCGGGGTGTCCCAGCACACCCTCCCCGGCGCTGGGGCCACCACGGGTGAAGCCTGAAGGGCGGGGAGGAGGCGGCAAGGCAGAGACGGCTCCGGGCGGTGGGATGGGGCCGGGGGTCCGGCGGAGCGGGGGGCGAGGAGCCGGAGCATCCCTGGAAGGCGCTGGGGGATGGGAGCGGCACACGCACACGCACACACACATTACCCACATGCACACGGCAGCAGCACCAACAGCCCCTGCCAGCGCCTGCAATCGCTGGAGCGCCGCTCCTGCGCCTCTCCCTCCTCCTCCTCCTCCTCCTCCTTCTCCTCCTCCTCCTCCTCCTCGCTGCCCACCGGCCTGCGGCACCCCTCACCCCTCCGCGGCCTCCGGCCCCACCAGCGCTCAGACAATGACTTCATGCGGATTATGCATCTGAAGAAATCACCAGCTCCCAGATAGCCACAGGGGGAGGTATCCATGTGTTTGGCAGGGAAGCAGCCTCCTGCTCGCCTTCCTTCTCCTCCTCTTATCTCCTCGCACACGGCAGCTGCCTCCTCTCCAGCGATGGTCGCCTGCGGTCCCCCCGCGCGGCGCTGAGCGAGGCCCCGGCGCATCCCCGCTCCCACGCTTGCACCAAGGTACCAACGGGGCTATTTTTATTTCCCCCCCCCTTCTTTTCCGCTTCACCCGCCGCTGCCGGGCTCGGTGCCTCAGCACCCTCGGTGCCTGCACATCTCCCCGTGTTCGCAGCCCCGGCTCCCGCGGCGCAGCGGCAGCACCGCCAGCCCAGCTCCAGCCACGGCCGCCGGCCCTGATCCCAGGTTTGCATCCTTGATTCCTTCATCTGCTTGTCGATGCGACAGTGCCATTTGTGGGAGGTGGAGGGGGAGCGGGGCAGGTGGGAGGGGAGGGGGAGATAAGGTGATGGAAGGGGGGGGGGTGGGCACAGCACCCCCCAGTCCTGCCGTGGGATGGGGAGGGCAGGGAGGAGGTGGGAGGGGGGGAAATGCAAGAGGCTGCATCCAAATCAATGTATTTATGTATATATGTATATATATATGCATGTCTCTGTGTGTCTATATATATATATATGTATATATGTATATGTAGGCTTGGGGGCAAGAGCAGGGCACAGCAAAGCATCTGCCCCTGGCGGGCGCTGCTGGGCACATCCCTGCCCGGGGCTGCCGTGGGCTGGGCACCCACAGCACCCACGAGGCACCCACGGGCTCCCTTCTCGGCAGAGTGGCCACCCCGGGGTGCTGGCACTGACCATGATGGACCTGAAAGTGGACGAGGAGGAGGTGGACAGCGGGCAGCCGGTGAGCATCCAGGCCTTCGCCAGCAGCTCCACCCTGCACGGGCTCTCGCACATCTTCTCGTACGAGCGGCTGTCGCTGAAGCGCGTGGTCTGGGCTCTTTGCTTCCTGGGCTCGCTGGCCCTGCTCGCCCTCGTCTGCACCAACCGCATCCAGTACTACTTCCTGTACCCCCACGTCACCAAGCTGGACGAGGTGGCGGCCACCAGGCTCACCTTCCCCGCCGTCACCTTCTGCAACCTCAACGAGTTCCGCTTCAGCCGAGTGACCAAGAATGACCTGTACCACGCCGGCGAGCTCCTGGCCTTGCTCAATAACAGGTGGGTGCTGGTGCCTTGAGGTGGCCCCAGGTGACATCTCGGTCAGTCTGGGTGCAGCCAAGAGCCACCAGGTCCTGCTGATGCTCCTGGGCATGTGGCTCCCACACTGGGTTGCCCCAGATGGCTCCAGAGGACACAGCTGCCATCCCCAGTGTGCAGCACACGCAGCGAGGCCTGGGCCACTCCCTGCGTACCTGTGGGGCTGATCCAGCACACCTGGCTCCAGTGCCATGTCTGGGTGCCATCCCATGCAGCGAGGCCAGGGGTGCCAGCAGGTGAAGCCACTGACCCACACCCCATCGTGGTGCCATTCCTTGGGCTGTGGAAGCCCCTCACCCGTGGCTGCGGTGGCTCCTTGGTGCTGCCAAGCCGCTGTCAAGGGCCTGGCGCACTCCCTGCCCATGCCAATGCCAAGGGGCTTCACTGCTGTCCCCACTCCTGCCCCAGGGAGGGGTTTCCAGGCATGACAGCAGAGCTGAGACCCAGCCCGTTCAGCCCATGTCACAGCAAGGCCACCACCTCACCAGGATGCCACCAAAGGCACAGGGCAGGTGGCTGGGTGGCCTCGACCAGGGCTGGTGCTGCTGGACCGGCAGTGGGACAAGTGGGATGGGTTTGGAAAGTGGCCACTGCCCAGCTTCTCCTCATCCATCCTTCTGCGATCTTTCCTGTGCCTCTGGGCCCCTTTGTGCTGGTGGATGCTCTGGGAATGCCACATGCAAGGTGGGGCTGTGCTGAGCCCATGCAGGGGTCGCTCCTGGGAACCCCAAGTGGCCTTTGCCAGTGGGAGCAGCCACCACAGCCAGGCCTGAGCCTCTCCCTGCTCTTTCCCCCAAGATACGAGATCCCAGACATCCAGACAGCCGATGAGAAGCAGCTGGAAATCCTGCAGGACAAGGCCAACTTCCGAAACTTCAAGCCCAAACCTTTCAACATGCTGGAGTTTTACGACCGGGCTGGCCACGACATCAGGGAGATGCTGCTGTCCTGCTTCTTCCGTGGGGAGCAGTGCACCCCTGAAGACTTCAAAGTGGTGAGTGACCCGTGGGCCCTGCCCAGTGCCACCTTTCCCCCATGCAAGGAGGGTGTTTGCCCACCTGTAGCTGCTCCTGCCTCCTCCCAGCTCGGAAAGGACGGGCAGCACCGTCACTAAGGGGGTGCCGCTGGGTTTTGGAGGTCCAGGTTGTCCCCAGGAGCACGTGTGGCTCCGTACAGCTCCGTGGGCTGCTCCCACGTGGGCGCAGCTCCCCGGGATCACTTGGGCTCTGCAGAGCAGGGTTTTGCCGGGCTGGAAGCTGCCATGGTGAGGAGGCTCCAGTGGAGAAGCAGGGAGAGCACGGATGGCCGAATCCCTTGGGAACACAGGTCCCAGTGGCTCCGTGCTGCGCCCTGCCATGGAGGTTGTTCTCGTGCTGGTGGATCCAGCACACAATAAAGCCTTTATCCCTGCTCTCCCATCCAGCTGGGAGCGGAACAGTGCCGGCTATTCGGGTGCTGCCTAATCAATTCGGCAGCCGCGGTGGCTGTTCCCGAGCAGCTCCGGCGTGGAGCCCGTGTCCCTGCGCTCTTCGGGGTCCCCATCCCGGTCACCAGCCCAGGGCTGTCCCCTCGTGTCCCACGCTGAGGGGGGTGTATGCGGAGCGCAGGTCCCGGCGCAGTTCGGGTGATTTTAATCATCGGCATTAAATTCCCGTCATGGGCTCTTTCCACGAGCAGGTGTCTGTTGTCAGCCATGAGGCGTTTTATTTGTTAAATGGAGGCACGTTGCAGCCCGGAGGGGGCTGGATCCCCTCCAGCAGGGCCAGCTCCAGCCCGTGCCCGGTTCCGATGCTGCCTCTTGCCAGGGCACGGTCGCGTTTTCTGCGCCGAACCATCCTCAGGGACCTTCATCCCTGCTCCCTCCCTCATCTCTTGGGTTCCAAATCCCTGTGTTCTGCATCCCCTTCAACCGGCAAAAGCCAAACAGACTCGCAGCTGGTTTGTTATTCCTGCCTGGATTATTCCTTGCAAGCAGGTTGGGATGATTTCATGGATTTGATTAGAGGAAGCTGGCTCTGCTGCATCTGTGTTGCTCTTTGGGGTCTGGCAGAGGGAGGTCTGTGTGTGCTGGGGCTGGGATGGGGTCCTGGCACTCTCAGAAGCTTGTAAGGGATTGTCTCAGCAGCAAATTCCTGCTGCCTTGCTGGTCCTGCATGGGCTGAGCCGGGCTCGGTGCTGCTCTGGGCCTGGTGGTCCCGGCCGGGCTGGGGGTGCTGGGGACCAGCACCTGGGGTGGCACCACCAGCCCACACTGCCCCGGTGGGGCCCCACCTTCCCTCAGCGGGGCTGGGTCCCCTCTGCACTCTGGGAAGCCCCTTCAGCGTCCAGGGACCCTTCTGCACCCAGGGCTGGCCCCGTTCTCTCACTGATCCAGTGGGATCTGCCGGGGGGAATTTGGGGGCTGCCCAGACCCCACAGCCTGGGACAGATGGGGACAACCAGGGGGGTGATGGGGACAGCCTGGAGGTCACTGGGGACAGCCTGGAGGTCAGTGGGGACAGCCTGTAGGTCACTAGGGACAGCCTGCAGGTCACTGGGGGCAGCCGGGGGTCTGTGGGGCAGCCGGGGGTCCTGGGGCAGGCCGGGGGTGACAGCCGGGGGCCGCCACGCCGCGGTGCCACCTTATCTGTCCCCGGCAGAAGGGAGGGCTCGGGGCAGCCGCGGCGAATGCAAATGAGGGGCTGCCGAAGCCTAAACACCTGGGGTGATGCGAGGCAGAGCAGGAGCCACCTCCTGCCGGGTCCCCCCGCCCGCTGCCGGGCTGGGGGAGCAGAGACCCCCCCGTGCTGGGGGCACTGCCCGTGTGCCCCCCAAAGCAGCCACCCCGAGCAGCCCAGGGGGCTGTGGGCTGCTGTCGCTCCCAGGGCAGCTCACAGCATCACCTGCAGCCAGGACAGGTCCCCCGGCACAGGGGGCTCTTGCTGGCTGCCGTGGAGAAGCCCATCCTGGGATGATTTGAGCTCTTCCCATCTCCTCCTTCATCCTGCATCATCAGCAGCCACATCGGGGGTCCTGGCATTGCTCATCCCCCTCCATGTGCCCCCCAAGCTGTGTGGAGGGCACAGGGACACCCCAGTGGAGCTGAGCAGGCTCAGATTCATCCCAAACTGCAGAGTGAACCCTCTAAAAAGACCAGGGGGCACCATTGGCCCACCCCAGCTCTGCCCAGGCTCCTCACAGCCCCCCCAGCACCAGGGCAGTGTTTGGTGCCCACCAGAGCTCCCCCCTGCAGCAGCCCGGGACAGGGACAGGGATGCACAGGGAGGTGCCCTGATCTCCTCCCCAAAATCCTGGCATGACCTCAAAGCCTGAAGAGGCAAACACAAAGCTGAGGGGCAAGTCTTGACCCCGCTCAGGACTTGGCCCTGAGGGACGTGGGCTGAGGTGTCCCCATCCCCAGAGCCTCACCCAGGGATGGGACAGGCAGGGGGGCTCGCCCTCGCTGTCGCCCCGTTTTGGGGCCACGCTCCCTGGCACCCTCATTAGCACACGGATCAATGTTTCACTCTTCCTGCTTCATTATTTATGAGCTGGAGTCCTCCCTGCCCTGCGGGAGCTCTCGGCCCCCCTCCCCCGGCTCCCTGCTCGCTCTTCCTCCCCTCACCGCGAGGTTCCCCCGGGGCCTCGCACATCCACGGGGACCGGCGCCTCACCAGCAAGGGAAGAGCCCACGAGCCCTGTCTCTGGGCTCTAAATCCCAGGGAAAAAGGAGAAACGCAGAGGATGAGCTTCCTCTCCACACCCCAGGATGGGAATTGTGGCTGCAGGAAACCTCGGGAAGGTGCCCCGTGCTTTGGGGGAACGGGAGTGGCTGTGCCCGGGGTGGCACAATGTGAATTTGCAGCTTTTCCTTCTCACACTGAACCCACCCCAGGGGAAGCCCCATCCCCAGCTCCCTGTCCTGCTCTGGGCCACGGTGGCTGAGCCCAGAGCCCTGGGCAGTGTGCATGGGACAGCCTGGGTGAGCTGCAGAGGATTAAGACCTCTGGACCGTTTCCATGAGGCTCCAGGGATGAGCTGGCACTAGGGAGAATTGAGTTTGACGTGGAGATCATGTCGCTGCCTTTTGCATTGGGTTCTGCATCCTCTGCCCTGGAAACACCGGGTGCACAGAGCCAGAGCCAGGGAGGGAGAGGGAAGGGTCTGCAGCAGCCCCAGCAAACCCCAACCACACTCCTCCTCTCCTCCTTCCTCCCATCTCCGGGGCACAGCAGGAGCTCCCGTGATGGAGAACAGATCCTGCTCCCCACTGCAGCCCACTGCCCCTGCTGGGCCTCCCCACCCTCCTCCTGACCCCACTGCACCTTGGTGAACCCCACTAGACACCTCCAGATCCTGCTGCACCCCTCAGACTCTGCTAAACCCCAGTGTGTGCCCCTCTGCCCCCCCAAAACATCTCTGCACCCCTGGGCTCCCTGCTCAGCCCACCTCGCTGCGGCTGGGGGGTGTTGGAGCTCTGCTCCTGCCACCCTGGGAACGTGGTAAAATGAAAAAACCTCCTGAAACAACCTCCTTGTGTGGGTCAAACCTGCCGTGCTGGTGGGCTCTGGGGTGCCCTGCAGCCCCCGTGGGATCTCGGAGGGGTGGGCACAGCAGGGCACGCTCAGAGGTGCTCAGCCGGGGGTGCTGCTGCCCCCCTGCTCTCCCTGGCTCTCAGCCCCAGCCCCTCCCAGGGACCCCAAACGCAGCCCTGGCCCCCCGTGGCCCCCCACGGCAGTCACAAGGCCGGAGCCCCGCGGCGAGCGGAGCTCCCCCGCGGCGCAGCGTTAGTGGATAATCACGGAGCCGGAGTGAGAAGCATCTCCAACACAGCTGGAGAGACCGGGCGCGGGAATTACTGATACCCAGACATTTCCTGGAGCTTTTGACAGTTAATAAACAAACCGCATGGGTCCATCTGGCTCTGGAAAAACAACTTGGGGACAGCGTGTGGGCACCAGGCACGGCCACTGGCCCCGGACAGTCCCGTCCTGGTTTGGGGATGGTTCCCAGCAGCATTCCGAGCCCCAGCAGATCCCACCACGGTCCCCGGTGCTTCTACAAATTCTGTAAGACGTTCGAGTGATTTATGCAAATCACTTTTTAAAGCGGCACACAGGCTCCTAAATAACTTATAAGGGTTGGAAACTGCTGGCACGTATCCGTTGTTTCTGAGCACTGATTCACCTCGGGCATCCCGCTGGTGTCCCCAGGGGCCCGGCTGAGCATCCTCACCTGGATCATCGGCAAACTCCGCCCGGGCTCTTCCCCACCCCGGCCTCTCTCCGCGGCCGAACAGCAGCAGGGTTTGACCCCCGAGGTTGCCCCGTTTTCCGGACGAATGAAGCAAACCCAGCGGGACACGGGCGAGATAATCGGAGGTGACGGAGCAGAGGAGCTGCCACACGCGGGATCGCAGCCGTTTGCTGGTGGTGACTCGGCTCTCCCGGGAAGTGCAGCGGGTTGGGAGTGCCCCAACTCTGTTGTCTGCTCGGCAGCTCGGAGATTTTCCCCGTATCACTGTATTTTGCTCAAAGCAAATCATCCGGAAAGCAGCCGTGAGCTGTTTCGCCCTCGGGCAGGGAGCAGAGACACTCAGGCGTTGCTCCTCAGCTGCCTCCTTGTCCCAGCTTCAGCCAAGCATTCCCAGACCTGCTCAGGCAGAACAGGGGAGCCCTGGGCTGTGGCTTTGCTCGCCCCACACTGACACGAAGCTGGATGGATGGGAGCTCTCGTGGGAAGCTGGCTGCTCTTCGCTCTCCCTCTGTGGCAGGACAGCTACAGCACGGCCCCGGCGCTGTGGGACCGGCTCCAGCGAGCCCAGCACGACTGATCTTGGCCAAGATGGAGCAGAAGAGGATCAGGGACAAGAGGGATGAGAACAGTGGCACGGTGAGAGGCACCACGTGCCTGCACGGCACAGCCACTTCATTAGAGCTGTGAATGGCAGCGCATCCAGCACCTGAACCTCTGGAAAACGGTGGGATTAGAGGAGGAGGACTTGTGGGATCAGGG